AGTTGTCAGAAAAAAGTGATGGGGAGATATGGGAGGTGTTAGAGGGAAGGGAGTGGGCATGGATTTGATCAAAACATCTTATATGTATGTATGAAATTCTCAATAAAGTTTTTAAAAAAGAATAAATAAAAATTGACTTAAAATCTTATAAAAGGCTGAATAAATTATAGAGTATAGAATCTTAAACACAGCCATTAACGAGAAGGCAGTCAAAGAACGTTTAATGCGAAGAGAAAACATGCTCATTATTTTACTTAATAACAGCAGAAGCTGTGTGAGTCTAATTATGCTGTTACAGGCTTAAAAAAAAGATTGGGGTCTATTTTTCAAATGGCAGCTCAGGGAAGTCACATTATAGGTGACTGTTATCTTCTGCAACTTTCTTTTATGATTATATATATACGTGTGTATATTATGCATTTATGAGCTAAAGCATCCACCTTACATAGACTATCAAAGGTAATGGAAATCCCTGTGTGGCCTTTAGATTTAATGATCAGCCCCTTTTTTGCACCTTACAGCAATTCTTTACTTCTGAGGACACTGTTGGAAAGGCGGTGGGGTTTTTTTGTTGTTGTTGTTTTGTTTTGATTTTTTGTCTTTTTGAGACAGGGTCTCCCTGTAGTCCCAGCTGGCCTAGAACTTATTCTGAAGACCAGGCTGGCCTGGAACTCATAGAGATCCACCTGCCTCTGCCTCCCAAGTGCTGAGATAGGCACGTCCCACCATGCATGGCTGGAAAGGCAGTCTTGTACAACAGATTTCAACCCCTGATCAGTCACTTAAGAATGGGCATTGGGCCCAGACACTTCCTTACTAAGCACAGGCGTGTCACATTGTGTGGGATTATCTGTCTTTCAGACTCGATATGTACCCCTTCATTATACTTAAGTTTGTGCATCATACAGCTCCTGACCAAACCCCATTACGGCTTATCTGCTCCTGAAGGAGGGGGCAGGGCTCTTCCGCTGTATCACAGAGCACCCTGCATAGGCTGCTAGGAAAGTCCACCACTATGGCTGTTCTTGTTTTCTCTTCTCTGTATGAACAGAGCGATGTTCCACAAGGAGACTGATCACGTGCTTGTCTAAGACACGCAAAAAGGCTCAGACAGTGACTCCTGATGCAGACAGCAGGTGACACTTGCAGGTCAAGTATCATCTATAATCCTAAGGGTGCGGAATGCAGAACAAGCGAGTTCATTCTGACATTGGTTGAAGCAAACACGTACATACAGACAGGTCAGCCAGCACAATGGGAGAACAGGGGCTTTGCTCCTGGGTTAGCCTGGGCTCAAATCCCTTTGATGATCACAAGTTTCTTACCCACAAGGGGCCTCAGTTTTTTCATTAGTAGTAGTTTTCATTTAGGGTTAGAATGAGAATGAAAATCTGAGATACATTCAACATATCAGTACATGGTAGACCTTGCTCAACAGGGTTAAGTTCCTGATAGTCTGTCCCCACCTCTCCTTGTCCTCACCCCGTACAGAGTTCTTCCAGTGGAAACTATGGGAAAACTAACTGAAAATGGCTTAAGCAACAAAAAAATCCTGGTGCAAGAAAGTCATGGTTGGATAGCAAAGGGTCTTAGTGATACATCTGTCTGTTTTGCTGGCATAGTTTTCCTCATGAATACAGAGTGGCTGCAGAAATCCCAGGCAGCCACTCTGGTCATATCCATATAGGGCCAGCTCTTCCCTATATCTTAGAATCAAGGAAACTTCTCAGAAGCAACCAGAACAACCCCATCTAGAATACATTTTCTCATGTCTCAGAAATCAGAATTTGTCACATGTCCACAATTAATCCATGCACAATTACCAGCCTAGACCAGAAAGGGCTTTGAACAGAACAAGAGACTTAGATCCTGCTTTTGTCTGTTTTCTGTTACTATAACAAAATACCTGAAATCAAGTAATTTATAAAGAGCAGAGATTAATTTGGCTCACAGTTTTAGGGTCTGGAAAAGCCAAGGGCATGCACGTCCGTCTGCCCAGAATCTTGTGGTTAGGCCCTTCCTGCTGCACATAACGTTTCATTGTTGATTGAAACTCTACTCTGGAAGGAAGGCTCATTGCCCAGGAAGTTTTCAAACATTTTTCTCCAGGAAACAAAAAGAACAGTCATGAGATTCAGGAAGTAAACAAACTTCACAAGTCTGGAAAAGCTGAAGCTGACAAGATTCACAAGCCTCTTTCCAAGGTTCATAAACAGGGAGGACTGCTGAGGAGACAGAGAAGCCACATTTGCCTCCGGGACCAGCTTAACCCATTTCACAATTCTGTCTAGGGCAAGACCTGCTGGAACATTAACTGGGACAGTGCAAAATGGAAAACAAGCACATTACAGTCTGAGCAGAAGGTGACAGTAACTGCAGGCTCATTTGAGGTGGGGCACAGATGTCTATGCACTTGCATAGTTCCTGTCCACAGAGAGGGGTGGTGGCATTTTGGCAGTGTAGATATGGAGAACACAGCCAGGAATCTTTTACAAAATCAGTGATTTCTAAGTTTGGACTATTACCTTTCCAGTCAGAAACAGCCTCAGGGGGCTGGAGAGGTGGTTCGGCAGTTAAGAGCACTCGCTGCTCTGTAGAAGACCTGGGTGCAGCATCCCCTATCAGGTAGCTTACAACCACCTATAACTCTAGTTCCAAGGGATCCAATGCCCTCTGGCCTCCCCAAGCACCTGCACACACGTGGTGCCCATAAACTCACACAGGCACACACATATACACATAAATTAAAAACTCAATTGATCAATAAAAAACAGCCCATGGAGAAAATAAAAGATGTATAAGACACAGAAACAGGCCTTGAAGAACTTAAGAGCAGATCCCATGGAATCAAGGGCTGAGGGGACAGAGAGGCTGTGTGCCTAAAGTTCAGCAACAGAGGAGGGCAGAAGAGTTGTTGGAGCTTCCAGTAGCATCCTGGAGGGTGGGATTTTCCTTTGGCAGGCAGAACAGAGAAAATTGACATAGGAACAGGAGCAAGAATATTTCAAAGAATAAGGAAGTTGGCTGAATGGAATTCTTTTCATGTTAGGCCCAGCCTGGATCACTGCTAAGTTTTGGCGTGGGTCATCTTAGAAGCATTTGCCTGTCTGTGACCCTGATGATTTTGTTCTTTCTGGGGACTGTTTTATAAAGATGAACTCAGTCAGGTGTGTGGGATGGTATATTAAGTACCTACAGAGACCAATAAGTGTCCCATCAGCCAGGTGAGTGAGTCTCTGTATTAGGTACATTCTTTCCAGAGACTGACAAAGATCCCATCAGCACCCTGGCCAGAGACTGCCGGAAACAAAGTTAAAAAGGCAACTGTGGTGGAAAGGAAAAGATCTTTGGAGCCAAGTAGAATTAATTAAGGTCTAGTCCTATAGATCATTAGCAAAGTACACACCATCTCTCAGAGCCTTGGTCTTTTCTATGGAATGGGTTAGGACCCACCTCATAGGGTTTGTATGAGGAAAGCAGTGGATATTGAAGAAGCATACAGAATATTCTTTCCTTTCTCCACTGTGCCACACAACTGTGAAAGGAAAATCTCTGGGCTTGATCCTACACAACACAGTGCACTATGGTAACCTGGTTTGTCTTGTCTTGACATACCCAAGGTAAGGGAAAAGGTTTGGCTCTTTCTTGATTTAAAATGGGTCAAAGACTTTCGTTAGACCTGAAACTTTGAATCTTCTGAGAGAAAATATTTAAAAATACAGGCACAGGCATGACTTTCTGAAAAGGACTCCAACAGCCCAGGAACTAGTAGCAAGAACTGACAAAAAGGATTTCACAAGAGAGCAATGCTTTCGTTTAAGCATTAACTTTTACTTGTAATTTTATTTTTAAACAACTACTAAATTCATTATGAATACATTTGCCAAGAGGGAAGGAGACACAAACAGGTGAATGAGGGAATGAATGAATGGGTTCCTCAGTGTGGGAGAGGTGAGACATCCACATTTAAACAATGTTTACATTTCAGTCTTCTAAAATGACTAATACTGACTTTTATACTTTAAGAAAGAATATACTTTTAATTTTAAAAAAAATTACTCTCCCACCAGCAATTACCCCTAGTCAACCCTGAGAGGCAACAGTCTGTGAGAAAGTGGACAGGAGTACAGTGTGTGGACAAGAAACAGATGTCATCAAAAAAGAACAAGGCCTGTATTTCAATTTTACCTTTCTCCTTCAAAAAGGAAGTGGGTTCACTTATTACTCATATTGTTTTCCAAATCTTTCCACACAAAAAATGAGGGGCGCACCCACAGATTCTTAAAAAAGGAAAAGATACAAGAGAAAAAACTAAAAATGAAAATAAGTTATTTGAAAGAGTGGTGGGTTGGTGGACCAATTCTTTGGGCTTCCTTCACATCATTATATCCAGGCTGTAATGAAGGTTGAGCATCACCCAGTGCAGGGTGCGTGTGTGTGCACCAAAGTGAGATGTCAAGAAGTGTGGGGTGGGGAGTGTATCTGAGTGTGGATGTACATGGGAGATGGGTGTATGAGCTCAGTGTGGAGAACTTCATATGCAGAAGCCGTGTGTAAGGCACATGTTCCTTTTTGCGTGTGGAACCTGTGTGTGGTGTGTGATCTGGCATTGCGTATGGAATGTGACTGTGTAAGATCTGTGGGTCAGTGACATGAGTGTGGAGAACTTTGTGTGTGGAAGCTGTGTGTGGACTGTGACATGAACTTTGTGTGGAAGCTGTGTGTTGAGTGTGACATGAACTTTGAATGGGAAGTGGTGTGTGGAGTGTGACTCGAACTTTGTGTGTGGAAGCTGTGTGTGGAGTGTGACCAGGAGAACTTTGCATGGGAAGCTGTGTGTGGAGTGTGACATGAGCTTTGCGTGGGAAGCTGTGTGTGGAGTGTGACATGAGCTTTGCGCGGGAAGCTGTGTGTGGAGCGTGACCCGAGAGTGGAGAGTGTCCTGTGCTGACTGCCAGCAGCGCACAGGAGATGCGGAGCTCGTGTGCGCGCGAATGGAGCGTGTCCGCGGGACAGGGAGCAGTGCGCGCGCGCGGCCATGGCGGCCCCTGCGTGCGGCCTTGCGCGGCCCTCCCTGCCCCTCCCGCCCGCGCTCTCTGGAGCCCGTGGCGCTGGCAATCATCCTCCGCCCGCCTGGCGGGAGCGCGCGGGCGCTCTGAAGAAGGTGGCGGGTGCGGGAGCGAGGCGCGGCAGGGCGGCCGCGGACATGTGCAGCATGTCCTTCAAGGTGAGCGGAAGGACGCCGCCGGTCGGGGCGGGGGCGGGGAGGCGGGTAAGAGGGGCCCGGCCCTCCGCGGAGTGCGGGACCGGCTGCGCGCGCGGCTTTCCGCACTTTCATCTGGGGGCCGAGGGAGCCACGCGGGGCGGCGGGCACGGTCGCCATGGTAACAGGTCACGGGAGGCCGGCGACGCTTTCCCGCAACCACAGCATCCCCAGCCTGGCCCTCCGCATCCTCATCAGAGCACTTAATCCGCACAGCGGAAGTGCATTTGATCCCCAGGTTTCACCGTCCAAAGGATGCTTCTCTTTTTTTAAAAAAAGAAGAGTTCATTAACGTCATTCCATTTAGTCCCTACGTTTGAGGATGAAAGTGGGATTCATTGATTTGGCCTCGGCTGGAAGGTTTTAATAAAAAGAATAGTTAAATGGATTGAGCATTTTAAATCTGCCAGGCTGAGCGAGTCTTCAGGAAGGCCTTTGGGGTGATGCTCTTAAGTGGCTCAACTTTTTTTTTAAGATGAGGCAGTACAGGTATAGAGGAGTTAAATCCCCCTCCCACTGTTTGCAACGGGAAACTTAATGGCCCCATCTCTTACAGTAACTCCTGTGAGCCGAGGAATGACAGGGTGAGGTCTGCATGTTAGACACTGGCTACAGCTGTAGAAGAGGCAGCGTAAAGAGACCAACCAGGAAGATGTTGTGGTTGCCTCCTTAAGAAATAGGCTGGACCAGGGCGTGGGCGGGGTGGCCGGGAATGAAAGGAAGTAGGAGTGATTTAAGATTGGTATAAACTGGCAGAATTTAGTAACTGATACTGGTCACTTAGTAAAGAAAGCAAGAGAGAGTAAGGTGAAATGTTTGGTTTGGAATAACGTTTGAGGATGGATGGGAATTCAAGTACAGGTGCTGATGAGACAGATACCCAGAGTAGGAATTTAGCAGATGGAGAAGATGAGATTGTGGAGTTGGCAGAATTATGTGCTAATTGAACCCATGGGAATTGCTCAGTGAAGAGGATCAAGGCTTACGAATGAAGGACTGGGGCGATGGCTCAGTGGTAAGTGCTTGCTGTGCAAGCTTGAGGACCTGAGTGCAGATTCCCAGTACCCATGCAGAAGCTACACTTGCTGCATGTAACCCCAGTTCTAGGGATGGAGATGGGGAAAGACATACAGATCCCAGGGGCTCCCTGGCTAGTTGGTCCAGCTGAAACAATGATCTCCAGGTTCAGTGAGAGACCCTGTCCCAATTAAGTGGCAATCCATAGAGGAAGGTGCGGACATCAACCTCTGCACAGAGAGCACACTTGCTCGCACACACATGTGCACACATACACACACAAAGGAAAGAAAAGAATGAGTAGACTAAGAGAAGCCCAGTGAGAGGAGAACAAACTAGGGGTGGATGAGCAAAATCAGAAGCAGATGCTGTCACTCAAGCCAAGGATTTCTAGTCATTTGGGAAAAAAGAGGACCTTAGCATGAAATGCCACCTGGGGCATTGAGCTAAGAATGGAAAAGGCCTTTGGATTCAACAACAAAGCATCCACTGGTGACCTTGCCAAGAGCCAGATTGCAAGATCGTGTAAAGAGACTGAGTAGAACCCACAAGTATAGGGAACTCTTTAAAGAAATTCTGCAACAAATGAGGTTTCTTTTGTTTTGTTTTGTTTTGTTTTGTTTTAAGACAATGACTACAGCTGGGATCCAGAGTTGACAAGGGTTTGTTTATGATGATAGAAACTTGAGCATCTTTAAATAGTAATAGACAATTCACTAAGATGTATAGATGGTCAATAAGGGCCTGAGAAGGTACTCGGCATCATTTGCCATCGGGAACATGCAAATCAAAACCGTGTTGAGATGCTCCTTCACCCCCACCAGGATGACTAATTGGCAAGGAAATAACAAGTGTTGTTGGCAGACGTGGAGAAATTGGAACCCTCATTGCTGGGCGAAATATAACACGATATGGTAATTTTTATTTTATTTTTCCATTTTTCATGTGTGTGATGTGAATATATGCATGTTTTTGCATATGTGTGGGTGCACATGTATGGGTGTGTGTACCTATGGCCTCATGCATGTCGAGGCCTGAGATTGAGTTGGAAATCATCCTTGATCAATCTTCCACCATATTCAATGAGGCAGAGTATCTCAGTCAAACCCAGAGTTGTCAGATATGGTTAGTCTTGCAAGTCAGCTTGCTTTGGGGAATCCCGGTCTCAGCTTTCCAAGGCTAGAATTACAGGCTGGTTGCCACACCCACCTGGCATTTACATGTGTTTTTGGAGAGCCAACTCTGGTCCTTAAGCTTTTACAGCAAGTGATTTAACCTCTGAGACATCTCCTTTGCCCTGATGTGGTCATTTTTTAAAAGTCTGGTCTGTCTTCAAAAAGTTTAAAACAGAATTTCTACCTTACCTAGTGATTCTAAGACTAGATGTATGTCTGACAGAATGAAAATATATTCACACAAAAACGTGTGTACCCATTCATAGCAATGATATTTATAATAGCCCAAGAATGGAACCTATCCCAATGTCTATCAACTGATGATACAGTTTGCATTGTAAATAACAAATTGGGGAATTTAAACAAAGATACTTTTTCTCAAGTTCTAGAGGCTGGGAAGTCTAAGATCAAGGTGCTGGCAGATTTGCTGTCCAATGTGGTTTTTCCTGATTTGAAGCTTGCCACCAGCCATCTGATTCCTCCATAAGGAGAGAAAGCTCTAGTGTCTCTTCTTAAAAGGACCAAAATATGTCCTCCCTTAAGTTGTTTCTGTCAGGTGTTTTGTGGCAGTGACACAAAAAGTAACTTTATAATATGATTATTCTACCATTAAAGGAATGAAACGTGAATACATGCTGCAACATATGAACCTTGGACTACAGTGAGTGAAAGAAAGCAGACACAAAAGGCCACATGTTGTATGATTCTGTTTATATGAAGTTCTAAAGTGGATAAATCCATAGATACAGAAAGTAGAGTAGTGATTGTAAGGGTCTGGGGAAAGGAAGTGATAGTTAATGAGTATAAAGACACAATAAAGGGGTATGAAGGTTCTTTTGGGGATGGTAAAATGTTCTGAAAATGGATATATACCAAAACCCATCAAATTCTTTTGAAAGGATTAGTTATATATTAGAGGAAGTGTTTATTTGAGCTTAGGGTTCCAGGGGCATTACAGTCCATCATGGCAGGGAGGCGTGGTGGTTGGAAGCGGCTGGAGGAGGCTGGAGCAGAAGCAGCAGAAGCTAAGCTCTTACATCATCCCACAGGCACAAGAAACAAGAGAGCAACAAGACTTAAGAACTCTCTAAACCCACCCCCAGTGACATGCTTCCTCCAGGGTAGCCACACCTTCTAAAACCTCCCAAAACAGCACCATCAGCTAGGGACAAAATGTCCAAACACTTGGAGCCTATGGGGGACATTTTCATTCAAACCACCACATTATGCAAATTACATCTCAATTAAAATGTGTTTTAAAATGCTAATGAGGTGTGTCTAGGATGTTTGGGAGTAGGAAGGACAGCTGCAACTGTGTGACTGAATTCTCCAGGAGAGGAGAAGCAGTGACCTAACAGGAAGGACTTCCATTAGCTAGGAGGATTAGCTAGAAATCTGTGATCCACCTCTCCCATGGAGATAAAAGGAGAGAGGAAGTTGAACTTCCCTTGATGTTTTATGAAATGAAGGTCAGGATGAGTTCAAGATTTGGGGGGTGAGTAGAAAGGAAGTTCCTGGACTGGAGTGATAGCTCAGTTGATAAAGTGCTTGCCTTGTAAGGATGAGGAGAACCTGAGTTTGATTCCACAGCCAGGCATAGTGGCACCTGCATAGTGGCACTGTGGAAGTGGAGACAGGCAGATCCCTGAGGCTTGCTGTCCGGCCGGCCTCACCTACTTGAGGAACTCCAGACCAATGAAAGACCCTGTTTCAACAAGGTGGAAGACATCTGAGGAATGACAGCCAAGGTTGTCTTCTGTAGTCTCCATATGCATGTGCACACACATGCACCTGCACACAGGCGAACACACGCACGTGCGTGTGTGGAAGCTGACTGGCTACGTGCCAACTTTTTCAGTGAATAAGAAAAAATGACTATGCGGCAGCTACTAGGTGAAGTGAGGTAGAGGATTAGATGGTGGGATGGCTTGAGTCTTAAAGGAGCAGTGATCTGTGCATCTGAAGGGGGTCTAGAAGCAGCTAGGTGCATTTTGTGCTGGTGTGAGAGAGGATCATGCCTTCACCAGAAAGAGGAACTAGGGACATTGAAGCAGGAAGAGAGGAGAGCTCTGTGCTAGGTAAGAAGAGGAACAGAATTGCCATGGAGTAGAATAGAATGGAGTTCTAGAAGATGCAGAAGGAAGGTTTGGAGGGAAGGGACCAGAGTTTCAGGCCAATCAAGACTTATATTAGCAATACTTCCACCTGCTTCCCATCATATCTGACATTAAAATGCACCTAACAGCCCACAGTGATAGTAGATACTTTAGATTTAGGGGGATTTTATGATATTTTATTTTTTAAACTCTTTATGACTAATTTATCATTAGTCTGTGATTTTTTTTCCTGCTCTTGTCTCCTATACTCAGAAGCTCTGTGTACAGTGAAAAAGTCAACCCCACATATTATTTTCACATGGCCACAATATTTTTTTATGGTCTTACAGGCATTTTAATTGAAACATCTTGGTACCTTATAGTGATAAAAATTCAATTTTTTTGCGTAACTCTTTTTGGTGTGTGTGAAGGAAAAGTAAAGGCAAGAGTAATTAGCATTACAAGTTCTAGACAGGGAACTAGAAATATTTTATGATGCCAAATTTATCAATAAAGTTGACAAAATGTTATGTTTCTTAATATTTTATTATTTTTATTGTATGTGTATGAGTGTTTGCCAGCATGTATATAAGTGTACCCATGTCAGGCAGTGCCCACCAAGGTCAGAAGAGGGCATTAGACTCCCTGGAGCTGGAGCTACAGACAATTGTTAGCT